CAGCTTAAACTGCAATGACTGTAAATAAAAGTACATCGGAGAGACTGGAATGACAATCATTACAAGGATCTATGAACATCCCTATAAATACGGATACCTAAAGATCTTAGATAACTGAACATATTGCCCTAATTGGTCAAATAATTTACTCGGGTGCAACAGATAGAATGGCCTCATATAGGGAGAACATTAAAAACGGAAGATCAAGGGGACTGTGGTCATCTTTTTTCAAAGAACTCTTTTGAGCATGAGATTGAAAGAAAAAAAAGAGAGAAATTTGCACACTGCCTAAAAACACATTTGGAGATTCAGTAAGGAAAGTCATAAAAATTCGCTTAAACCAAGGACATGAATTCAATACCACAAAGATAGATTGTCAAAAAAAGGATTATGAGGGACCAAGGAAAGTCAGAAGAGTGCGATTGCATTAAAGGGAGTTAAGCTTGGATTTACCATGGAGATATGAATGTGCGCAAATCTGTGTCACAGGAGAACAAAGCCGCAAACACACAAATTGTATACCATTAGAGGTGCTAGGCTTATGATCTAGGTTCATTTCAAAATCATCCCGGTTTGAGAAAAGAGCTGGATAGCGCAATATCAGTCGGTCTTTAGTTTCTGTGTATGTGTGCTTTGTGCATTTTTCATGTTTTCTGAAGTAAGCAGTGGCTCTACAAATTTCTGAATAAAAAGGTTATCAACCAAAGTATGCATAGAAGTTGTTTGACCTTGTTTTCGCAACTTGGTCATATTGATAGAAAGACTTAGAGGAACGCAACTTGTCCTGAGTCCATTGTATGCATAATTATTTCAAAAGTCGGACCGTGGGCATAATACATTCCCAGAAGTTTTGCTGGCATCGTCAGTGAGTTTTACCATTCGTAGCACCATATTAAAACTCGTCAAAGAGACAAGTGAAGCCATCCTTTGAGCAAATGTGTGTTAAACGGTTATGGTATCTCCTATTCTGCCCTGGCCTTTTCACATTTCCTATATCCTCCAATCACGCCTTCACTGTCACCGTATTTTACTTACTTAATTAACTGTGGAATGGTGTGACCTTATCAGCGGCTTTCATGGAAACCCTCCGCACTCCACGCTGGCCTTCTCACCGCCATTCATCCTTGTTCTGGGAATATTCAAAAGAGTCTACCATTTTGTTACGCAGTCCTCCTTTCCTAGGTCTTACCACAGTCTCTCTCTCGCCCTGTGAGATCCATCTGCCCTCTCTCTGGTCCACATATTTCATTCGACTCTTGCCACCCCATCTGCGCCACCCGAGGCGTTATTGGCCCAACCCTGCGTCTGGGTGACAAATTCGAGGCTAAAGCCTCTGAGTAAGTCTTATGGTCAGGCATTTGCCACATAGACCACGTCTCTTATAAAAACTACTGTCACCTTACTAGCTCCCATTGCCGCTACGTCTATCTTTTTCTATCTCTAATACCAAGTCTATGACTTCCCATGCCCTAGTCACTTGTGTACTAACCCATAAATGTTGTGTTACTGCTTTATTTGATTAGGTTCAATGTTAAACAACAATGTTGTGGGTTAGGACACAAGAGACTAGGGCATGGAAGGTCATACACTTCCAGCTAGTGGGCTGACAGTAGTTTTTATAAGAGACGCGGTTTATCTGGCAAAGGCCTGACCATGAGACTTACTCAAAGGCTTTAGCCTTGAATTAGTCACTCAGACGCAGGGTAGGGCCAATAATGCCTTAGGTGGCACAGATGGGGTGGCAGGGGTCAATTGAAATATGTGAACCAGGTAGAGGGCAGACGGATCTCACGGGGCATGTTACATTATTTTGGTCTTCATATCTACCATTCTAAGCAATATGTCTATGAGAAATACAAATCATATTCGACGAATTTTAATAAAATTTCCGAAAAATTATTAGATTGCAATTAATCTCTCGGATGGCATTTGTGAATAATTTATACTTAAGTAATTTTTTAATAAACGTAAATTAAGATACAATTATTTAAAATATTTAACGATTTTAACTTATTTTAATAATATAAACTATAAATTTACGAATTATAAGTTGTTATTTATCTGTTAGAATTTTAATTATTTTTGTTAGTTTAGAATATAGCTATATTAATATTACACTTAAGGTCATTTTTATTTGCCCGCTTTGTTCAGATATTTAGTTATCTTGTTTAATTTATTTTCTGCTATTATTCTCAATGGAAAACCCTCCAGCCTATTACGATGTTAAGAATATGCCACCACAGCCACCGTATCCTGTAGATTTGCAAATGCCGACACCATATGGCGTTACTGGACCAGGCTATCCTCAGACTAGTAATTATCAGACAACAAATTTCCCTGCTCCAAATTATTTTCCAGGACAGGGCAGCCAAGCTCCTGTAATTGTACAACAACCGACTACTGTTATAATTCCTCAAAACTTCGGTCATAGATCTCAGGCTGTAACCTGTCCATTCTGTCAGCAAACTATATCAAGCAGTGTTACCTACGAAAGCGGAGTCTTCACATGGCTTATGTGTGGAGTTGTCGCTATATTAGGAGGAATTATTTGCTGTTGTTTGATACCATTTTGCGTTGATGGGTGTAAGGATGCCGTTCATGCATGCCCGAAATGCAAACGTATGCTTGGTTCATATAAGATAATTTAGCAGCTTCATGTTTAGAAACTGATGCAATAAACTTATTATATATATTTTACGGTGTAATATATAGAAAAAATACGTCACTTCTTTGTGATTTGTCAGATTTTTATTAATTTATTTCTTTTATATTATTACAAATATATAAAAATGGAATATATTATTGCGCTGAAGAAAAAGCACAAGCTGCCTTATATTGAATAACATTTTACCCTTTTTATATTCTTTCTTCTTTGAATTTGTTAGTTTGGTAGAGTATAATCCGGTTTATTTTAGGTTGGAAATCCAAAATCTTTAAAACTAAGTGCTGTTCACATATCGGAATCTGAAGCAAAGCTATGGTTTACCATTAAATGCTTAGAATAAGAAATGTAAGCATTTTATCTATAATTAATAATGAAATTGATCATGTGATGCGTTTCTGTACAATGTTTCGACTATTTTATGCCTTAGGCCATAACTACTATACCGGATATTTGAATATTAGGTAGCTGTCTAAGAGTGGTATAAATAAAGGCCTAATTTTTAAAATGTTTTTGTTACATCTTGACACCGTGTGTCTTATTTTAACAATAAAACTCACTTTTATATATCCTATCAAGTAGGTAGCTTGCCTACATTTTTATAAGCATTTATTTGAGCTTTAAATGGGCCTTCTAGAAATTACAGTTAAATTTCGATGTAATCCCTCCATCAAACATAAATTAAGATGGTATTAGGTGATAATATCAATTTTTCTAATTCGTTTCGGCGTATCTACACTTTTATAGCCCAGCGTCATATTCTATGATCAATTTATACATGGGCTTATTCAAAATAATTTATTTATCCTTATTTAAATTAATAAATAATTTTCATTAATTATTGTTGAGTGATGATAGGTCAAGGGTCTAAAACCTATAAGAAAAATGGTGATTTTTGTTTTATTGTATAAGATTATTTAATATCCTCGGAATCGCTAAAAATTTAGATTGTATAACCAAGAGTAAGAATTTATTGGTATGCCTATCACCTGTTACTCTCTTTGCAGGGATTCAATTATTAAGGATTCTTTAGGATAAATGCTCCTTTAAGTCTAGAATTTGAAATCACTCTATTACTAAAGTATTTCTTATATCACGGGAAATGCGAGGCTATTCCAGCCTCCTTTTCTTCAGTAGCTCTCCAAGCAGTACATCTCTCTCCCTCTCCTTAAGCCTATACAACAGCCACAAATAATATCTACTTAGTTTTCTATACTTGTTCCTTCTATTAAGGACATTGGTTGTTTTGCTAATTTATATAGACTTTCTTATCATACGCATTGATGTAAATTCCCCGTGAATCGCAAAATGTTGTATTTTGGACCTGTCTGTTGAGTGTCCTGTATTGGCTATGTTCTCACCAAGCCCATATTTTAGAACCCGCAGACCTTTCAAAGCGGCTTTGTATTTGCATTGTCTCTTTTATATGGGTTAGCAGGTCTCCACCACATAGACCTTACAATATGAGCACAAAACATTGTAGCAGCATGAGCTAGAAAGCGGGTCTAAAATTCCCCAAACAAAGGAACTAATGAGGAACGTGTTAACTTACCTATACACATTTTTTTAATGTTCTACTTCATTAGTAGATCAACCAACTTTTTTGCAAGCTCACATAAAGCAAAATCAGGAAACGAGTAGAATGGCCCAATTGACTATCCCGCCCCAGATAACAAACTCCCTTTATCTTGTTACTGAGTTGAAATGCAATTATCCGTTAATCCTGATGTGTAACTGTTTTGAAACAGTATATGCCTCAATCTGCCGATTTCCTGGTCACTGTGGTTTTCGTCTGATAAACTCAGACTACTTGTTATCATAGACGTCATAACTTCTATTTGACTCTTTATGTATGGTTGGCGAAACAAGTAATAAGGTAACTAGCATGTGTGGGTTTCCTATATACGTATATAACTAATGTATTGCCTTCTTCACTTACTAATACATAAAATAAAGATAATTTATTTTCCTTTTCTAACTCAATCGTAAATTTAGTATTTGCATCTATTCTATTCAGAGCTTTCAGTAGACTGCCCTAAAATATAAAGTGTTGCGGCCTACGGGACTTCACATCAAAGCGTAATATTAGGAAGTCTAAAGTAATTAACAAAACAGTCAGCTTCCTGAATAGAAGGAACGCGTATAGAAGACTGAGTATAAACTATTTTCGGCTGATGGATTGGCTTATGGAGAGGGCAAGAAATGGGATGCAGCAAGAACCACTAAGCAAGAGAAGTAGGCTGGGTTAGCCTTGAGTCAAACTAACACTATTTCACTTCTCATGGCATGAACTTTGCATACACCCAATGACATTAGCACAAGCCTAAACATGAATCAACATCAAAGGATCATACATTAGTTTATTTGTGTAAGAAAACATCTACCACCGAACGCACTTCTGGTTCGGTAAGTAACTTCACTCATTTGCAAGCTTGCATAGTAAATTTGGAATAGCCAACCAAATCATGGGATGCTTCATTATGATCGCGAATTTAGGAGTATAAAAAAGTGACTAGGATTGCAACTAGCCATCTTTTTACTTGGTTTATTATATTTTTGCTCTATTTCGTAAAGTATAAATACCTGCTCTGGTGATGTCTGTCACAATACAGGCAAAAACCTAACACAGTTTCATCAAGGCCACAGAGCAGTGAAGCCGGGATTTCTTCGCAGGATTCAACAGACCTCCTTATGAGGCAAATACTCCTTTGGTTTCCCGTGAGACCACTTTGCTAATTCTTTCCAGCCAACTTCTCCTTTGAAATAAAAAGTCCTGTTCCAAAAAAAGAAACTGATGTCTATAAACACTCTATTTACTTGGTTGAAAATAGAATCGTAAGGAAGTTTATTTGATGTTAAAAATAGCTTATAAATTTGGTTTCGATATAAGAAGATTAAAAGGGAAAATGTATGAGAAGGCTTTAAAAACATGCATGTAGGAAAAACTTTAGCTCCTCCAACTAAGATTTACTTTAGAAGGCTTATCCAAGGATTCGCCTAGAATCAGAGCCAATTTGTTATGGAATGTAGTGAATGCAGCCCAGTATAAAAGAATAAAATCCTCAACTATTAAAAAAATGAAATAAGTATGGCATCTGTGAGCGAAATGAGTAAATTACGCATCAGCATCAAGCCACCGTAAACGTTTTATTATATCCAATTACTACTAACATATGACGCTTCTTGTCGATAATATCCAACATATTTCGAAAGTATCTAAGTCTCAATCATTTAAGGTTGAGCAGACGAATATTTGTTCATAGACTTTTCTCACGAGTTACAAAAATGTAGGATTTACACAAGAATGTTTTTATGCAGTTCATTAAAATAATCAAACAAAATTTAGAAGATTACTGCATCTGGAAGAATAAATAGGAGAATCTATCAGGAATGTATCTCAAAGATGTAAATAATGGGAGAGGTTTGAATTCATCAGTAAGAATTTTATAATACCCAGTAATCATTTTTAGTTCAAGTGCTAAAGTGCCTTATAGTTGATTTTTCCACAGGGAAATGAATAAAATGTCTTACCTACGTTTGTTAATCAAGATGTTAGGCCTTTTTTTCATTTTGGTAATCTAGGTAAAAGTGCTTCTAAGTCAAGTAGGCCACTCTTGAATTTCAACATAAGATACAAACCCACAAACGTTAGGACGCCATTGAGCCAAAGTCACTTAAAAGAAAATTCCAACGACACAGCTCATGAGCTTACCGGTTAGCATGCTTTTCTGATCTCCTGGAGTTCTATAGAACATGAAAAAGAACCCCATTCATGACCATGAAACAAACGAAGTGCATCATGATTGAAGAATCACCTTTTAAGGATACTATTTTTACAAGTCTGTTTGGCAAGCCTCATAACATTCCGGATGAAAAAAGGGTCTTTTTTTTGAAATTTTCACGATCCTGATTATACGAACCACTGAAAAAGCATTTATATTGAGAAAATTACATTAATCGCGCCTTTGATCTGACACTCTTCCTTCTTTGCATTCTAGATGGCTCAGTTTGTGTTTGTTAATTGGTATTTACTTTAAGGCGGTTAATAAGGTATATTTCCTAATCTGAACTACGAATGGCTAATAGTAAAGAGATAACCAAATATAAATTATATTGAATACCCTACAGTAAAGTATGCGAAGACAAATTGGGTTTAGATGAATCTCTTGTTTCATAATTGTTGTGCTTACTTTCATTTCCAGTGAAGGTGTTTGATGAATAGATTCGAAGGTCGATTCAAGCAGAGATGACGC